AAATATAGTTTAAAAAACTAAAAAAACACGCTTTTAAAGTACATCGAACTAAAAAGTTAAAAATAATCTTTAAAACAATATTGAACGAAAAGTAGTAGAATTATTGTGATAAAAGCGTGGGTGCTTTGTGCCATATTTTTCGTATATTGAGCGCCTGACGCTTTTATCACAATAATACTAGTATTTTTTGTTCATAATTATTTTAAAAATTATTTTTAACTTTTTAGTTCGATGTACTTTAAAAGCGTGTTTTTTTAGTTTTTTAAACTATATTTNTAACTTTTTAGTTCGATGTGCTTTAAAAGCGTGTTTTTTAGTTTTTTTAGACTATATTAATATACATACAGTATCAGTTTCAATTCTAACTATTTATAAAATTTTTGCCTTATTTAAATTATGATAATACGTTTTTATATTTGACAGTTGGTAACAAAGATTATGATGCACTGTTTCTGTAACATTGAAAAATAAACGATGTAATCTATAGTCTAATCTTAGTAGTTTACCAATAGATTACAGCTTAATTATTTTTCTATTTAAGTTATTTTTTCTCACTATGAACCGATGGATGTATGATGGAAATTTGTACAAATGTCATTGTGGTTTAAGTGTAAATATTCGGGATAAACCTAATAGTTATTTAGAATCGAGTAACACGCAATTTGTCGTGTGTCGTAAAGATTATACTGATCCGACGCGTTGTCGATACTTTAAATACATGGCTAAAGATTATCACAACTGTAATTGTCATACCCAAGCATCATTATGCATTACTAGTTCAGGAAGTAATAAGGACAGACCGTATTACTGCTGTGCAAAATCGCGTACGGACCCACAAAGATACAATTATTTTAAATGGTATCAAGATGAATACTGAAATTTCAATATCTAATGTAATAGTATTTTTTTTTGTTTTCAACAAGTGTTAATTGATATACATAATATACAATTCTAAGTAAAACACCACATCGTGGTCTTTTTTTTTTTTTGCTCAACTTGAATTAACTGAGTTTCTTGTTATTACCTAATCACTTATATAAAATTTTATGAAAACCCCATTTTTATTTCGTATTGCGTAATTTTGATGTGCGTAGTTTTGAAAAAAAAAAATTTGGAAAATCCTTATTTTTAAAGTTAATTTTGGTTTTAGGATTTTTAGAATGAGGATATTATGTAATAATTACATCATTACAGTTTCACAATAGTATCATGAGAAAAAATCCCAAAAATTAACAAAAAAAAACTATTGTTGAGCTATTTTTAGTTCTTGACGTTTCAACTTTAAAAAGCTATAACTTTTGAACCAATTTTTTCCGACAATTTTTTCAAACACTTTTGAAAAAAGCATTGAAAAATACACGTTTAAAAAAAAAAAAAATTGAAAAAACTCGATGGGGTGGTAAAATGTATTCTTTCCTTTAATAAGATATAACTAATCAATTTTTAATTAATTAAAATCTAGTATTTGACATATTATATTATTTATGTATAATTATTTACCATTTTCTTCAATTAAGTGTAATCCAACATTTTGAACGTGAAAACAATTATGAAGAAGAATTCTTGGCAATTCAAAGTTTAATAAATGTTGTCCATTATACGAATCACAAGCTGATATAATGTATATCAATTTCTGTAAATAATAATAAAAATATCAGAGATCTTTTGTTTATATTATTACTTATATATATAACAATGATTGATAATCTTAAATGATTTTTAATCTAGAAATCCAGACAAGTCAATAATACGATCAAAAATAACTAGAGCTATAGTGAAATTTTCTTGAATAGAATAGCTTAATAAACTCATATATTAAGATCACGATTCATAACTTAAATAGTTAATTAAGATAAATATGTCATGGTTCTTACCATTATAATTAATAATTGTAATGATATGATCTTCATTTTATTTAACTGTAAATAATATAATAATATCCACTTTAAAATATTATGCTAAAGAAACAAACAATTTTTAATTAAAACACTATTAACGATAGTAACTTAATTTAAGTGTCACCAATTAGTAACTTAGTATTTATTTGAAATAATACTGAAATTATGAAACCATTGTACATTTTTTAGACGATTATTTGAAAATAAATAAAATTTACAAATAAAAGATGTTTTTGCTCAGACCTGATATTTTATTAATTGTAAACCATTGAACTATTTTTCAAAATATTTAACATTAAACTATTATATATGTAGTTACCATTAAAATTATTCTTGCTCTTTTGTTACAATTTGTGCCAATATTTTGAAGTATATTTAAGTGTTTTAAAACCATCAGCATTAAATTTATAGGAAGCTTAAAACTCATTTTAATTTTGTGTTTGTAGATTCAAGTGTATTAATGCGACATCTAAAATAATAGTCACACTTTTTTAAAGTAAAAAAAAACTATGTCAGGTAATTTTTCTTTGACTGCAGTCCAACGCATATAATCAAAATCAATAGTATATGTATGGCAGGTACGGGCCTTCAAAGGTGCAGACAATGACGTCATCTATTGTTCCTAGAAAACAATGGGTGAACAGGTGAGATACAATCCGTCATGGTGACGTCACACCTGACCCCCTGGCCACGGTGCCTGTTGGAGCTGCATCCAGGTGCATCCAAGTGCAGTTTATGATGTTATCCCCCTAGCTGACGTTAGACTTTAACACTGACCTAAGGTAAGCCCTATGGTGGGCCCTGGTTGACGTTAGACTATAACACTGACCTAAGGTAAGCCCTATGGTGGGCTCTTTGTTGACGTCACACCTAAAATTTGATATAAGGTATGCCCTATGACGTCAAACCTAAACTCTGTGCTAACATAAGCCCTATGATGGATCCTGTTCGCCCTATTACGTTGTGATTGTGTCTTGCGCTATGACGCTTTTGCCCGACCGGTGCGAACGCGTCCTAACTCCACCGTCGAATCCATACATGTCCTAACATTATAATAATAATAATAATAATTTCGCGCCCTATGACGTCATACCTAAACTTTGATATAAGGTAAGCTCTATGACGTCATACCTGAACCTACTTCATTTTCTCATGCATTACTCTATGCTATGATAACNTACATAAGCCTTATGACTTACTCTATGCTATGATAACGTGAGCCCTATGACATGCCCTATCACGTCGTGATTGTGCCGTCGGCAATAACACTGTCATGCACGACTCTATATAGTACTACAACGTCGGGCGGCGCTTCACCGACCGATCGAACGCGCCTTAACTCCATCGTCGGATTCCACAGCTGTCAAATCGATGTCGGGTTGATCAAAAAAGAAAGTTCATTTTCCAGAGTACCTACACGCAAATGGTTAAACGTGTGTATAGTACACGTCGAGTCCGTGCGTTTGATATGTCACAACCCTATATACCGGCGAGCCAATTCACCCCCGACGGTGTGGTTTAAGTTTAAGTCGATATTTCGTAAATGATAAACACCCCTTCTATGTGGTTCGACTACACATTCCAGACATTCCGACAGTTGTTGTGTTTGATAAAAACACCGAACACGTGCGTAACGCGTAGGCGCAATATCTCATAGAATTACTACAAGGTCGTTTGTTGTTTACAGAATTGACCCTGTGCTGTGTGTGTACTACTATATACCCTTTTTTTGAAACATTGAAATATAATATACGGTTTTTATTGATGCGTACTATTTGTACAGTACAAATAGCCATCGCCTGTTGATTTTGAAATTAATGTGTTAGTTATAGTAAAAGGAATCTATAACAAAGGTGACAATTGTGACTGCAATATTATTGTAGTATCCTTCCGCGGTGGACGTCAATCACATGAAATATTTACCACTAAACTACGAGTAACCTGATGACATCAAAAGTGACCGTACGTTTGTACACCAAACACAATGGACAGTGTCAGCGGCAGCACAACAGTCGAAACGTTGTGGGAGCATATTAAATAGATGGACGCTTCGCGTATCGGATTATTTTTTTGTATAACGGCTGCAACAACCTATTTGATTTTGCTGCATTTCACACAAACCGTTGACAGCAGCAGATATCAGATTGTTAATAGTAGCGACAGCGATAGNTTTGTATAACGGCTGCAACAACCTATTTGATTTTGCTGCATTTCACACAAACCGTTGACAGCAGCAGATATCAGATTGTTAACAGTAGCGACAGCGATAGCGGATACGAAGATGCGGATGACATCGACAAAAAAATAATTTGTTTGTAAGAACTAATCGTTTGGACGCTTTCGGTCGAGATTACATAACAATCGAAGATAGTGTTTTTATATTGGAAAAACGTATCAAAACAGTTGAATGAACGTACATTTGAATGTCAATGGGTGTTATTTAACCAAAATAGCAGACAAACAAAATAAGATAACTAATATTTTTTAAAATTATTTTCAGGATTGTATTATATATATTACAACTGATATTGTACTACAAATATAGATACATTTTCTACAAATGTAGAAAATGTACTATACTAATACACTAATAGATTTTTCAAAAATCTAAAAGAGTTGTAGTATTTATACGTGTTGATATCTACCAAAAAAACAGACCATAATAATTTTTTCTACAAAGTTAACAAAATGTTTTTTTTTTTGGTCGTGTTTTTTACACACAAATTATTTCGGTTCGTGTTAAGGTCCTTCTAAAATTAATTTGCTCAGTTTAATCATTCCTTTGTTTACGACTTACGCTGTTGTACGGTCATACGTTTACTATCGATGTGTATTTGATCCAAAATGGATAGTGGAAAAGAAACGTATAATGGGTATGAAAATCGTCTCAATGAAAATTCAGGTAAGAAATAAAAACTGTATGATATGACAATCGAAACTAATTTTACGTGAAATTACTTTTCCATTTTTCTCGTTTAGGATATGATGTTTGTGGATTTTACTGTTCGACGTCTAATGATCAGCAGCCTAGAATTAAACTCCCTAAACACAAAGAGTTTGCCGATTATAACACTCGTTTAAAGACTTTTGAAAACTATCCAAAAAAATTGGAATCAAAAATATCAGGACTTTGTGATGCTGGATTTTTATACATAGGTATGGGACTATATAGTATTGAATGCATTATTATGATTGGTACATTTATTCAAATACATTATTTATAAGTGTATATAATTTTTAGGTAATGGACAAAATGATCAAATGTTATGTTATTGCTGCAGTCAAGGTTTGAAAGATTGGGATGATGAAGACGACCCAAGGGTAGAACATGTACGTTGATCTCCTAGCTGTACTCATTGTTATGTAAAGGACAGTTATTTATCCCAAATAATAAAATAATGAAATAAGACTACTATTATTTGTTAATCTTATATAGTATTGTAGTTTGAAAAATAAATAAAAATTTTTAATATTGTATCTTGTGTGTTATATGAAACTGTATAAAAGGTACCGTGTGTAATAAATAAAAATATCAATTTTTGATTTAGTAAAAAACATATTATACTACTAAATTTATAATTTGTATAATCTAAAAGGGTTTTTGTATTTACAAGTATTCAAATCAACAATAAATCAGACACGTGTGACTTTATCAGCTTTATTGTATTCAAATTATGTGTATATATGTATTTATTTTCTAACTTAAAAGAGAATTAACAAAAATATTGCTAATACTCGCGTGTTTTTATCTTTTACACACAAACCCTTACATCCAGTCAATATTCTATACGTTTTTTTAACGTTAAAATACGTTTTACTTTGCTATCTACAACATTGTGTAAAATAAACAATAATATCTATGTAAGGAATTTATTGATCCCCACTAGTAAGATATTGAATTCCTAGGGACTTTTATCCCAAACAATTAACTTTATTGTGCCTAAAAATATAAATTTTATTATATAACTGTAGAAATAACCCATTGTCTGTTCATTCACTTTTTGGTTTTTTTATGGTGCTCTCCATCATCTACAACTGTGTTTCATGGCTATTCCTGTGCATTTTCAACAGTTACTGAATTGTAAGTAAAATTTTAAAATTATCATAATGTCTTCACGTTCAATGAATCTATTTATTTTTAATAATCTATATTACTGTTAAATTTCAAAAAGTTTTTTCATAAATTAAATTTGTTTACTATAACTCGAAATAAATTAAAAATAATATATATATATATATATGGTACTTGCATTGAATGGTAAAATTACGATTACATTTGTTGAGCAAATAAAATTTTCATTCGTCTTTTTAGTAGTAATTTATTTTTTTAACCCTTCGATGTATTTATTTATTTCAAAAATCGATAAACTGGTGAAAATTTGCCAAAAATTTGATTTATTAAATACATTTTATTTTATTATAATCTAAAATAATTTATTTGATTCTAACCAGTTTTAAAATTTTTTTGTTACACAATTGTAGTCCGCACAACTAATTCATGATTAAAACTAAATTTTGATAACTAAATGATTGGACACTGTTCTGCCAAATTCAGTGTTTATTTTCGACGACGTGGTTATGGAAAAACAAAACGTAATGTGCGATTATTTTGCGCGTGGCCGACACAAAAGAAGAGTTGGTGTGTTTTTTCTCTCACAGACATTGTCCCACATACAAAAACAAATGTTACGAGACAATGCAGATGTGGTGGTGTTGTTCCGACAAGACGAAATCAACCAACGTCATGCATACGACGAGTACGTGTGTTGTGATTGGAAATCTAACGAATTCAAAGAGTTTTGCAATCAGTGTTGGAAAAACGATAAATACGGATTCGCAGTGATACGTACGGAATTTTATGGTAATAGTGGTCGATACAGATACAGGTTGGACACGTACGGACAATATTAACACCGCCGACAAGAAATCAAAGATGGAACTGTTGGACCAAGCCCGGGACAATGTCAGACGAAAATATGCAAAATTGCGTCGTGGTGAGTCAGAGTCGTTGACTCGCATTCAGAAAAAACTAGCGCCAATAATAGAACCATTGAATAGGATATCCAATGTTGTTAATGTGCAATAGCAGCTTCAGCATCAGCAACAAGAAAATAGCTATTCAAAGTTATATTATGCACATCTTATGGAACAGTGGACAAAAAATCCATTGAGAGATAAACAATACGGTCCTAGAATGCATATGGATGGTAAGCTGAGCATTGGTAATGAAAACGATTTACGTTTAAACAACGTTTACAATAGTACTCGTGTCGTCTGTCCTCAATTCGTTGTTTTGACTCGAGTCTCGAGAAATTCGATATATAACAATAATGGCTGTTTCCCACGGGTAACAGTTTTGGTAACGTAAAGTAAATCAACATGATCGGTGCTCGTACGCGATTTAGTGATACGCAACGGATACACGTTATTTTTATCGTCCAACGCGAACACATTGACCGACATTAACGGGTTAT